ATGCAAAGCAGGGAGGCCATGCGAGGGTTGACACAATTCCTTATGGGAGATTGTGTTCAGAGCTAAGATCTGGCGAAGGCAGGAGTACTCTCAACTGAGCCTATACCACCAACTTAATGGTGACGGGACATCGAACGTACTTGGAGACTTGCCAAGTTTTAAAAGGACGGAGGAAGATGCAGCATTAATCTGAAAGCCATTTCTATGAGATGTCACGCTCATATACTCAGGTAACAGAATACCACATCCGCCAGCCCGAAAATCATCATTTTTGTAAATTTCTTCCAGTATGCCATAATCAGGATCTTGCTGGGCTCGATCCTGATGGGTGTTTAAACCCTGAATTCCTGTTTATACTTATCTGCAAATGCATTGCCTGTTTTGGCATGCATTTTTTCAACTTTCGTGTATAGCATAGTTCTTACGTTGAGCACGAAAGAACTCCATCGATGGTGCAACTACCCACTCTTGGAACAGTGCACTCTCCTGTGTCCCTCGATGGTGCGCAGCTGTTTAACTACTCTCCACGCACTTGGATGTCCCTCGTTGCCATCCCGCGATGGTGGACGCTTACTTAGAGCGTCCACCATAATAAATTATATACATATTTAAATAATAAAATATATAAATAATATAAAAATTTTCTATTATTTACTTATAAAATATTCATTATATTTATTTCTGATCATTTGTGCAGCAGACAAAATGCGATTTTTACATTTAAATCAACATATGATACGCAATTCTTTTCTTTGTTTTGTTCATTTTCGCACTTTTCGTCATTAAAAAGTGCCATGGTTGCCAAAATTTAACAAAACAAATTTGAAACTGTTCTTGTTCCGAAAACTGCTGACTCCCAAGCAATTCAGAATAAGGGAGTTGTGTTTTTGGGAATGGCGTAGGAATAGGGAGTTTTGTTTCCTGGGAGTATTCAGAATTGCTATGTTTATATTGTAAAAACCTACGTCACCGTTTGGTTCGAAGGTTTGATCCACAAACTTTGCCAGTTCGGCTGCCCTCCATCACTTTGTAGTACTGTCTACTAATTCCTTTTAAATAAGTCCTTTCAAGTTCGAGTCGGTTCCACTGTCCCGTGACTTTTGCATATAGCAGCCGGTGATCCCCATGGCACGGCTCTTAGCCGCCTTCTATTTAACCTGTTTGCAACAGATATATCTCTCCCCAGGCTCTCATCAAGAAAATTTGCTTCGTTGACGGCTGCATCGTTTTTATGCAGTCGTCTAACCTCTTCCGTGCCTCCAACGAGCTGAATGCTCATCTTAAGACCTTCCTTGACTATTAGGCCTGGTGGAAGATTTAGCTCAACTCCGGTAAGATCTCAGCCATAGCTTGTCAAGGCCTAAAACGCGAGATTTAGACATACTCCACTAAAAAATGTTCTTTGTGGGCATAACCAGCATAACTGCAAAGTTAAGCTGTTCTGCTATAATCAACTCATTCGCCCTGTACTCATGTACGCTTTCCATATTTGGTCTGCAATCTCTTCAGCCCAGATGGAAAAAATTCGTCTTTTCTAGCGCAAGCTCCTTCGAGATTGCACCAATTACAAGCGCAAACCTAATGGAAAGCACTTTTGCAATTCCGTCCGTTTGGACTCAGCCAAAATTATTCGTATTCATGAGTACCTCCTCTTACTCGTACGAAGGTACCTCATCCTGCCACACAATCTTCCACCTGATATCCACAACACCTCTCCCTTTACTTCGATGGGTGGGACTCCGATTCTTCCATTATCTCTATCTTCAATCGCGGTTTTTGTCAAATTAAAATATGTTGTCAAAAACTTTTATATAAACATTTGCAATGTTTAAAATAATAATATACACATAGTAGAAAAAGTCTACGGATATTCACAAAATTTTTTTTAAATTACGCATAACTTTTTTAATTTTTACTTAAATTCATTTTTATTTCCTGATTTATTTTAACCAAAGAAACAACAATAAAGTTGCAATATTAAAACTAAACAGTTATTCTTTAAAAAAAAATTAAACACAATTATATGCAAAAGTAGCAATTTTTGAAGCAGAAAAAGTCTACGGATATTTCATAATATTTACATTTACTGTTAATTTAAATTCGCTTGCAAGCATAAACGTTTCATTAAATGATGTTTAATTATTAGTAGACTTCCTGAAGAGTCTAAAAATTAATCACTGAATAATAATATTTTTTATATAAGCAACAAATTTTTACAATATAAAATAAGAGACTTGCAATTAGTTTTAGTGAGCGACAAATAACTGTTAAATTTTAGAGAGATGACGTAAGCCAAAGAAAAATTGCTGAAGATATTGGTCGTCAATATTCATCTGTGCAGAGAATTACAAATAACTTCAAAGAGACGAGTACTTACGTTTCTAAACCTCTCACTCACCGCCCCTCAATTCTGTCAAATAGAGAAAGACGTAACATAATCAACCAGGTGAAAATAAATCCAAGAGTAACAATCTTTAAAATAGCTGAACATATTGCCGAAATACTTGAAAACAAAATATGTCCTGATATAGAATAGAATAGAAATAAACAGGGTACTAGCTCCCACCGGAGCAGAGCACTGCGACCAGATTGATCTCTTGTGCCGTAACTGACCCTAATTGAACAGAAGACATTCCGCTTTCCGAATGAAGGCCAGAATGTCGTCCGTTGAGGACCTCCTAATGTCAGAAGGAGAGAGCAGTTCTCCTCCCAGTGATTTCCTCCTTGCCCAGATCAAGGCATGGCAGTCACAGAGAACGAAACGTAGTCTCGTCTGCTTCTAAGCAGAGTCGACACTCCATCTCTTCGGACAGACCTATTTTGTTAAGGTGATAACGCAGTCCATGGTGACCCGTTAAATATCCCATCAGCAACCTCAAATCTGATCTGCTGAGGAGGGATGCCTTGCCATAATTATATGGATGAACCAGCTGTTTTGCCTGACGGTTACCTCGATTGTCACTCCAGTAGCGACCTCTCTCGGCTGAGATCCATTTATCAATTAGATAACTAGTTGTAGACCAACTTAGTCCACAATAGGGTTCTGGTCCACAGAGTTTAGTTGCAGAACCTGCCCTTGCAAGGCTGTCGGCAGATTCATTTCCTTTTATACCTGTGTGTCCAGGCACCCAGCAAAGCGTCACCTTATTTCTGCTTGCCAGCTGTTGCAACATATCAAAGCAGTCTAATGAAAGTTTTGAGAAAAACCTCCAGGTGGATAGAGCTTTGATTGCTGCTTGACTATCTGAGTAAATACAGATGCGGGCGCCTTTCAACCCGTTGTTTAAGTTGATACGAGCGCAGACCTCGATGGCGTGAACCTCTGCTTGAAAGACAGTGGGCCATATACCCAGCGCTAGCGAGATTCTGGTGTTAGGACCAAATATTCCAGCACCAACACCTTCCGTGGTTTTTGAACCATCGGTAAACCATGATATCACTTCTGGTTCTGCTCCAGGGGTGCCATTTACCCAATCCAATCGATCGGGAATGAGGACTTCGAACTTTCTACTGAAGCGAAGTTCCATGTTCATGCGATCTGTCCTATCGCAGATCTCTATGCCAGGAACCAGTCTGCAGATAGAGTTTTGACTGTCAAGACTTCCGTGCATATTGATACCAGAGTGTAGCCTAGCTTCACTCAGGGCTGCCGTCTTTTTAATGAAGAGGTGCAGAGGGCGGAAAATACTGATCCTGATACTGTGCGGAAAATTTTGAAGAAATGCATGTATTATACCCCGATTGCAGGAAAGAAGCCATACATATCCAGATATAATAGAATAAAATGATTAAGTTTTGCAAGACAGCATATAAATAAACCTATAAAGTTCTGAAAATGAGTTATTTTCTCCGATGAGAGTTCATTTTACATATTTGGAATCAAATTTAGAAAACTTGTATGGAGAAAATGATGTTTATGATGATAAACAAAATTCAATTTCAACAGTAAAACGTAGTGGTGAAGGCGTAATGATTTAGTGGTGTATAGCAAGTAATGGTGCGGTCAGACTTGAATTTGTACAAGATACAATGGAGAAATATGGCTATCTAAATATTCTAAAAACAAATTTGAAAGAAAATGTCAGAATGTTAGGACTTGGGGCAACCTTTTTGTTTCAGCAGGGCAATGACTCTAAACATACAACAGTCATCGTACGGATTTGGATGCTGTACTATGCTCTCAGGCAATTTCAAACACGAACATCACCAGACCTTAGTCCAATCCACATCAGCATATGCTTTCCAGCAAGAATATAGTAAGAAACATCATCAAAGAAGAATGGCTAGAAATAAACACATAGGATACTACAAAGCTAGTTGAGTCCATGCAAAGACGCTTAACAGAGGTTATGAAAAGCAGGGGTTATCCCACAGGCTATTAAATTTAAGATTTTTGTGAATTTTATTGTTTTAATGTAAATATTAAGAAATATCCGTAGACTTTTTCTGCTTCAAAAATTGCTACTTTTGCATATAATTGTGTTTAATTTTTTTTTAAAGAATAACTGTTTAGTTTTAATATTGCAACTTTATTGTTGTTTCTTTGGTTAAAATAAATCAGGAAATAAAAATGAATTTAAGTAAAAATTAAAAAAGTTATGCGTAATTTAAGTAAAATTATGTGAATATCCGTAGACTTTTTCTACTATGTGTATATTCTCAATATCATTTAATAAAATAGTTAAATTGAAAATGTAATTACTAAGCATGTTTACTTTCTTATTCTTAATAAATATTGCATTAACAAATAATTAGTTTACAAAGTTTTACTTTTCAGATACTCATCTAAAGTGGCGCTGATTTTAAATATAATAAACTTCAGACAATAATTTTAAAAGTATACGAGTATTTAATAATATGGTAAATACAAAATCGAAACTAATGAAATATTTTTTTTTTATTTTCACATTCTCCTATACATATTGTATTACGTGAAAAAAATATTTTGTTATGTCATTTTTTGATTTAATATATTTAATTGTATAATATTTTACCCTTACCTCTAAAAATATGTCTGCGCAATCATGTACCACTAATACTAATGATCCAACTCGATGTAAATTACATACCCAACTCAATGACATTAGTAGTAATGTTACCATGTGATGTATGAACATTTGCCAAAAATCCTTACGTTTAACATCGAAAAATTGAGTTACGCTCAGGGCCCAATAAAAAGACATTGATATCATATAGTACCACCATATGTCATCTGTGATTGACTTGAAAATTTAAATTAAATATTAATGTTAAATAAATGAATTTTTATATAATATATTACAGGATAGACAATGGGGCTATTTCACGTTCAGTGGATACCTGAAATAATGTTTCCTTTAGTTTCGTTTACATTTGGCATAACTACAATCATATTATTCTTTATAGTAAAATTCAATTTCCGTTTGTTTGTGTCCACGAGTATAGCACAAGTATTACAATCTATACATGCTATACATGGTAGAAACATAGACGACTATAAACTATAGACACGAACAAAATAAATTTAACGTAGATCGCTATATATGATTAATAAAACCTTGTTTTCAAAACAAGGTTTTAGTAATTTAGTTAATCGCAGGAGGTGTGAAAAAAGTTGTTATCCAATTGTATATTTGTTGTTATAATAAAAAATGTTTGACATATTTTAAAACATATGAGTAAAAATAGTTTTGTGTATAAATGAAAGGTGATACATATAGATATTGTCAGATATAAATGTGGTTATTTATACCTCGCAGAATGTTTGGAATTTTCTGTTCCTGCACGACCTTTGAAATAACAAGTACATAAAAGTACTCATAGAAATTCAACCTTGTGTAAAAACTTCAATTTACAATTTAATTTGCTGTAACGGCTGTTATATCCATATTCAAATGTTTTTAAGAACATAAAAGATTAACTTGCACTGAACAAGAACGTTTAGAAGATAGCAGAAGATTTGTTAAATCAGCAAGTGGAAGAACTTGAAGTTTAACGGGAAGAAAAACAGTTCATTTCACTTAAGAGCAGCTCACTAAAAAATTTGTTATTTGAAATCACTGATGATTTAAAATATTTTTACAAAAACATTGGAAACGTTCTAATTTCAAATGACGTCATTTTGGGCTTTCGTTATACCGAAACATTTTATGTCAAAATTTGAAATTCAGGGTAAAATGTGACGAAAAGCACATACAGTTTGTCAAGAAAGTGTTTTGACAAAGCAAAAAATTTGTATTTTTTGTTTTTATTTCCGAAAATATTAGTTATTATTTTTTATTTCCATCTTTTTTTTACACATTATGCTTACGGAACATATTTAATCTTAAAATAAGACAAAAAACTTATTCATTTAATGTTACAACAACAATAAAAATAACGAAAATAAAAAAAACTTAAAAATACTAGTGTCAAGAAAGTGTTTTTACATTATTTATTTCTTCCTAATTCGAACTAAGAAATGCATTTACCGTTATTCAAATGATGCTGACGTATGTTTAATGCATTTGTTTGTTCAAATAGCAATTAAAAATAGTAATTTTGTTGCGTTTAATCTTCGTGGGTGGTAGGTAAAGTGTGATTATTGAAATTATTAAGATGCCAGGTAAAAGAGTTTCGTTTAATATAGTACAGTTGGTGTATTACAACTATTATGATGGAAAACCCATCAGTGAGCTATCCGAAATGTTTTGTTTAAGTCGACAAACCATTTATAATATCATAAAACGTGCAGAAGATGAAGGAAGATTGCACCCAAATGAAGTAACTGGCCGTCCTCGAAAGTTATCAGATCGAAATATTCGATTTTTATTAAGAAAAGTAGATGAAAATCCACAAATTCGATCAGAACCCTTGCGCATGAACTTAAGGAAGAAAGTGGTGTTACTGTTTCTCATGAAACAATGCGGCAAGTTCTGAAAAAAAATGATTATACATCAAGAGTTGCACGTAAAAAACCACTGCTATCGACAGAAAATATTAAAAAACGCTTGTCTTTCTCAATATTGCATATAAGTAAGTCAAATGATTATTGAGATGACGTCATATTTTGTGACGAAACTAAAATGATGCTATATTATAATGATGGACCTAGTAGAGTATGGAGAAAGTCATTAAAAGCGCTGGAAAACAGAAATATAGTTCCTACTGTAAAATTTGGCAAACTTTCAAATATGATTTGGGGATGTATTTCCACCAAGGGCGTTGGAGATCTTGTACTTATTGAAAATACAATGGATGCAAAAGGATATTTAAATATATTGCGCAATCATTTAATCAGCAGCGCAAATAAATTTGGCTTCATTCAAGGCAATAAGCCAAAGTTTAAATTTTATCAAGACAATGATCCCAAACATAAGGCGCATATGGTGATGATGTGGCTACTATTTAACTGCAACAAAGTCATCGATACGCCTGCCCAGAGCCCAGATATAAACCCCATTGAAAATTTGTGGGCTTATTTAAAAAAAAAAAGTAGCTAAACAACACCCCAAAACTCTATCACAGCTAAAGGCAGCTATTTTACAGGAGTGGTCTAAAATACCCATTAATTATGATGTGCCCAAGCTGATAAATTCAATGAATAGAAGACTGCAAGCCGTAATAGACTCAAAAGGAGGTCCAACAAAATATTAATTTATATAAATATACTTATTTAATATCACTGTAAAGTGAAAACAACCGTTTATTTCATTTGTAAAAACACTTTCTTGACACTAGTATTTTTAAGTTTTTTTTATTTTCGTTATTTTTATTGTTGTTGTAACATTAAATGAATAAGTGTTTTGTCTTATTTTAAGATTAAATATGTTGCGTAAGCATAATGTGTAAAAAAAAGATGGAAATAAAAAATAATAACTAATATTTTCGGAAATAAAAACAAAAAATACAAATTTTTTGCTTTGTCAAAAGACTTTCTTGACAAACTGTACATTACATAAATCAAATGCAACAATCAAATAATAATTGATGTGCTAGGTTTTGTAGCATGGAACTCACACGGATTAAAAAATCATCAAAGAGAACTACAAGTTCTCTTTAATTTAAAAGAAATTGACGTCGGTCTTATATGTGAAATATACTTCACGCGCCAATCTCGCATCAAACTAATTATCTAAGCAATCACTATCAGTGATTTAAATTTAGTTGCTGGAATTAACTGCTGGCTGACAGTGCTATAATTAAAACAAAGTATAGAACAATTCAACATAAAAGATCAAGTAAAAAGTAAAGGATCAAAAATATGAGGCAGTAAATGAGAAAACAGTTTGGTACTAATTAATTACAGTGAAAGTATTAAATCAGCTTCTTAGCAAAAGTTTACTTGAATTGGATGAATTTAATTTATATATGTCTCTAATACATTCCGAGCTTTTAAAAATTTGCTAAGATGATAACAAAGTCGAAGTCAGAAAAATACTCCCACATAGTTCATTCTTACGACCAACGTTCCTTCTACCACAAATTTCAAATCTAAAAGAGAAATTAATTTTTAATCGCATAAAACCAATTAATAAATGTTTTGATCTGGTGCTTTCTTACCAATGTGGATTTTACTGTCCACTAAGAGCAAATGACAACTTCCGCTTGTAACAGACACTCATACAGCCATACTTGTAACAGAAAAAACATAAAAGCATCTATATTTTACTAACCAAAAAGCAAATTATCATTTAATTAAACAACTAGGCGTTTCTATTTCATATGCAAATAATGATGAATTACTTAGCATAACTCTTGATACAAAATAAGATTTGACTGACTTATCGAATGAAGATCATTTCGACAAAAAATTAATTAATGATATAAATGAATACAATTTATTATGAACCAACTTTTTACAAAAAAATCTGTTAAAATGTTCATTGTTTTTATCATTTCAAATTTCTGTAGTTAATGAAGTTACTAATATACAAGGTAAGGCGATTGAAGTATTACCAACTACTCAATCTGATATAACCAATTACGTAAAATTCCAAAACATTACAGCTGTATTGTTTACAAGCTGCCACAAGCATTTGCGTCTTAGTTTTATACAACAAACGTTATTTGAAATGGAACGTAGTAGTGGGATTGCGTTATATTTGGCTGGAAAACCAAAATCAAACACCTTATAAGCTCAAACACCTCAAAGTGAAATGTTTATGTACCGTACCATAAATCGTTATAATAGTACAGACAGTGTCACCAAATGCTATAGTGGCGGACGAAGAAAACCAGTAACATTACCTGAAATGATTCGGAAAATGGTAACCAAATGGTCAAAAAATTAAAAATATGCCAGCAAAGCATCCGACGTATATTCCAAAATGACTCCAGGTAAAGCCTTACAAGTTCTAAAAGGCACAAGATCCTACATCAAAGCAACAAAAAATGAGACTCGAAAAAGTAAACGAGTTATTACGCTTTCACGAACGTGGCGAATTTCCAAATATTGTGTTCTCATTAATTGAGAATCATTTAGTTCATTAACTCTCAAAATGATCGTGTCTACTTACACAGTTTGAGACTATGACCCAAAGTAATTTTCCACCTTATGTAATGGTATGGGCAACTGTAACCGTCGATGGACCCTCAACGTAGACCACGGACGGTTCAACAGGACTCGGCACCGTCTCATAAAACTCATGTGAACCAAGAATAGTTAAAAAATCACGTTCCACAGTTCATTTCGTCAACACAACGGCTTTCGAGTTCATCAAATGCAAATCCGATGAATTCCATCTGAGCTATTTTGGAAAGTAAAGTGAAGACAAAAAAAAATTGCCTGTATGGATGCGCTGAAGAAAGTCATCGTTCAGGAATGGGTCAAAATATCGGAAATTCACATTCACGAACCATTCAACTCATTTTTGAATCGTTTGAAAGCCATAGTCAAGGCAAAAGGTGGCCATATCGAGATGAATTGATTCTGAAATTTTGATTTTATCCACAAATTTTTGTAATTTGAATCAATAAAAAATAAATTCACAGAAACAAGATATGGTCACCTGAATAGGTAACATTTCAATCGTCTGACCCTGTACCTATAACCGAGGTAGAAACATGCGAATATTTGTTAAAAGTCTTAAAGCATAAAACACATGTTATAAAATTATCTTTCGAAAACAATATTGTTTGGAAGAATTATATATATAGAATTCAAAGTAAATGTAAGGACATTAATGAATTAACTAAAGTATGACCTTGATTAAACAACTAATAGAATTCGAGGGTGTTGCAATAACCAAGGTTGGTGCAATAA